AAATATATTTTTTGAGAAAATACCTAATAATGAAAAGATTTGGAGGCAATATGAGATACTCGTAAGACTACTACAAAATAATAAAGCTATTTACAAATAAAAAACAAGTTCTTATTAGGCACAAGAGATAAGAGGGGAGATTGAGAACCAGCAAGTAGCTGCTCTTCATTAATAAGATGTAAATTAATCATTACTGATATCCATATATAACTTAGATCGCGCGTGCTGTATAGAGTGCGGATTAAAAAACGCGAGATAAAAAAGACGAGTAAAAATTACTTGAGAATAAATTTAAGTATCCTTAAGCATTTTTATATCTCTCGTACTTTCTTCATCACACCAACTTTCAAAAATATTGATAAACATTTTGCAATATTACTATCGCTTATAATAATTAAAAAACATACAAGAGCATATCAATAAAAATATTGTATATAAATATCTATATACTGTAAAAATAAATGGGATGTTAAAAATTTACTGTAAAAACATGCACGCGATAAAAAAAAACGCTTCTTAAATTAATATTTAAGAAGCGGCAAAATATTAATAAAATTACGAATAAAAAGATATCGATTTGGTTTGATTGATTGGATTACATTTGATTAGATCATTAGAAAGTAACGCAAAAGAAGAGAAATAAATCAGAAAGCATTGCTTGCAGAAAAAAGAATCCATCGTGAGGAAGAAACTGATTAACTACGAACATTTTCCTTCATTAAAACATTCCCTTTAATTTTCCCTTGTGCACTTCGGTCTGTTGACCGTGTAACGTTATGCGTCTCGTCTCTCAATTCTTCCTCGTATTGCGCTGCTCTTCCATTTCTTTCATCTCGCTTTCCTTCTCTGTTTCTCCAAAGAAACAAAAAAGAGAGATAGTTGCAACCGCAATTTCACGAGACATCGCGAACACGCAGTGGAAACGGGCGTAAACTCGAGCGTAAACAACGATCTGCACGTAAAAGTGCATAAACCGTGCCATAATTTACTAAGTGAACAAAAAGATATCTATTAACTACTTTTCTTGTCTTAATTAAAACATGAAATAATTGAGACAATTAATTTAGACTATTAATTAATAAATTTGCCTCGCTAGCTAAAATAAAATAAAAGGAAAATAGAAATAGAAAAAGAGCGTTCGAATAATTTATTGAAAACCGACAGAATTTAATAATGTAATTTCCAAGTGAAAAGAATAAAGGGAGATTAGTGTTTATTATATTTTATTATATTTTTTTTATTTTGCCATTGTGAGTCACGTTGCGACAAAAAAAGTCTGCTTTCATTCTCTTTGCGGGAGATACCAAAAATGGATGGATCATGCGGTAGACGCACGCAACGCGCGAGAGAATTTAGAAAACCAACGTGGCGATCATGCGGCACGATACACATCCAAATTTAGGATCCTGACTGACTTCCTCGACCTCTTCTCGAACGTCTGAAGCTCGTTTTCTGACGGGGAATGCCGCCCACGCGATTAAAAAATGTTGTTAACTCGCCCAACGAGTTTTATTTATCCTCTAGTATCAAGTTAGATAAGATATTTTTTAAGCACACCACATATACGTATATATTTATACTTTTACATAATACGTATCTTATTAAGTCAAAAGAGTCATAATTGCTTATTATAAAACTTTTATTATAAAACTGCACTCCTTTTGCAAAACAAAATTGAAATTTTAGTAGAAGCTTGTGAATCCCCCATCTCATCAGGGATTGAATAAACAGAAAATAACGTATTCATATATTTATATAAGCATCCGGACGAGATACGTCGGAATTGATAAGAAAAAGCTAACAAAGTTAATTATTCAAATTCCTTCTCAGAGTAATATATACAATTTATGACAAAACATTTAATTTTATGAGGAATTCGCAGTAAATACTGACGTAAGATTCCGAAGTTCGCGCACTTGGCTTTAAAGTTTATTTCTAATGCAGCTCGATAAACAAATTTTTTTAGTGCAAAGTATCGTCTACGTTTATAGAAGGAAGATTCGGCGTAAAAGTGACTAAAGAGAACGGTCAGTCTCTCTCTCTCTCTCTCTCTCTCTCTCTCTCTCTCTCTCTCTCTCTCTCCCCTCTTCCCTCCCTCATCTTTCCGTCTCTCTATATGCAGAGGACATGCTCAGTATCGGTCATTCAACGTAAGAATAAACGAGACGAGAAATATCACAGCGAATGGAACTGAGAACGGTTCAGCGAGCGGAACTAAACGAGAACGGTACATCCTGTAATCTGTCTCAGAAAAAGTTTTGGTGTGCTATAATGTGCCAATCTTCTTAACATCTCGACAACGCGAGAAAAAAACCAGACACTAAAGCCGCATTAATTGTACGTAAAATAATAATTCTTTTCCGTCGTAAAAACAATTCATTGTCTTCAGAAGTGACAGTTTCGTTGCATTTATAATAAAGATACGTTAATTCTATGTATTCACGTAATAGGCTTAAGTTTGTATAATAAGAATGATTGATTAATTCTTCAACTCTACAGTTAAATTATTAATTACAATATATAATTTCTCTCATTTAAATCCTTTTAATACTACTTAGTTGAAAATAAAAGAAACTATTTATATATTTACGATACATATTATATTGTATTTCAAAATGCTAAATAATATCAAAATAGCGTAAGATTGAAATAAAATTTTTATAATTGACTAATTAATTTCAGACCCTAGTTTCTCGCGCGAATATAAAGTTGGATAAATTAGCACAGCGAATGGAAGTAAATGGGAGTTGCACGCCACGGTCTTTCATAAAAACACTCGCAAGGATCCGCGCTCCGTTCATAGTTTTGAACAAAACGCAAGTTATAAATCCGACATTTCAAGGCTTATCCTGGACAAATGCGGAAGTTGGTATATACAGTAAACGAAGCAAGAGAGTATTTGCTACATTCCGCTTGAATAGCGGCTAAAACGAAATGAGTCTCAACAAAATTTGTTTTATATAAAGAATGGTCTGAAGAATAGTCAACGTATTTCGTATATACATACAACTTGTTTAAATAGATACATAATCGAATACCATTATACATAATTATACATAGTTATACGTACATAGATAATAGGTAAGTAAAGTTTCCACCGATAATCTCACAAATATCATGTCTTACATATTGTACCAACTTTTGACAAAGTACAAATGTTGTAAAAATATTTAATCGAGAACACAAAATATATAAATAAAATAAAATAAAAAAGATAATTAAAATAAACTCATTAAAAGTGCGCCATTTAATTTTCTACTCTTTCAGCGGATCTATCCCTTTTTTGTTATTATTTCCTTTAAAATTCTCGTATTTGCAATTTACTTTTTTATACGTGGAATATACTAAAGAGCAAAACTGTGCAACTATGTTAGGTCTTCCGCAATCTACATTTATAGATACCAGTTATAACGTTCAGTTGAACCATTGCAATCGGTTCGCGAACGGTACATCCTGCCATGTACTCCCACTCCATTTCTACGTATCTCGAAAAACGCTGCGTGCCCGTTGTATGCTATGCCGTAAGCGAGCATACAAATCCTACAACGATCGGAAAAGAAAATCCTCGCAAACAATCACGTTGCCACGTTATTATGCGCTGAAAGACGTTTAACGAGAACGTAATTTTAACATTTATTTGTCTAATTTACTTTAGACAATCAAAGACTCACTCTTAAATAATAAAAGCTATCAAATGTTGGCTGTTAAATCGCTCGAAATAACTGTGTCATATTCATATGCGGTATAAAATTTGACATTATTATTACTATATTTTCATTACCATTTGATTTTATCGTATTTAAATATTATTTATTCGGTTTAAATTTAAAAAACCATCATTTTACTTTATTTATGTTTTTGTCTAACGGTCTAATTCTCTTTTAGAGCGTTACAAAGTACAAGGTTTGGTTTGCTGGTTAACTTGTGGTTGGACATAACTTGATAATAATGTAAAAAAATGTATTTTTCTAGCTATGATTAATTATTAAACTAATGATTCTGTAGTAAATAACTTTCAAAGATACCACAAAACCATTAGTGATTAATTATAGTTGAAGAAAACAATTTTTATCAAGTAAGGTTGAATCAAAATTACAAGTTAACCAGATAATGAAAAATCGGGCTTAAGTGTGATAAAAAAAATGTAACAAAACATTTTGCTTTATCTTCTCGTTTTATTTCTTTATTTATCACACTTTTAAAAGTTGCTCAAAATATGTATAACTGTTTATCCATGTTTGACATATTTGACATTGTTATCATTACCATATTCTCATTACCATTTATATTGTATTTAGATATTCGATTTGAATTGAAAACAAACACGAATTGATGTCTTTGTAACGGTCAGTAACAGCTTTTAAAGCGTACAAGTGCATCTAACAGAATTCACTGCAATGTACCAGAATATTCTTCGCATCCTTGTGACATGGTGGGGAACTATATATCTCGCAGCCTTTTATGCATCGAGCGTACTTCGTCCGTCGCGAGAAACGGTGCGGCGTGCGTGCAACAAGTGGATTTCTCCAGTTCTTTCCAATTTTATCCAATTTTCTTTAAAACTATTACACGTATATATTTATTTATTTTTAGTTGTAGTTTAGGGTTTTAATTAAAACTTAATGAAACTGAACGAAACATATCGAGGCGCAACAAATAGACAACTCCGTTTGGCGAGTACGGAGCGTTCCACGACGTTAAACACGCGTGCATCACGCACTCACGCACTCACGCACGCACGCACGCACGCACGCACGACGAGGAAGGCCATCGATTGGCAACGGCGCGAAGGCCGCCACTGGGCCGAGCCCTACTCAATGGGGCCGAACGAGAACGGTACATCTCTCCCGTTCTCTCCTGAAGAGCGGCACTCCTTTCGGAGCTGAGAATTCGAAAAGAATTCCAATTCCTCCGAGGATAAGTTTTCTCGAATTATCGAGAAGAACTCGCTGGTTCTTCCAGACGGACGAAAGAAAGATAACCGAGCAAACTCTACGTACCTTGTCGAGGCACTTGAGCTCCTCGATCGGATAGACCGTCTTCTCGCATCGGGCGCACGTCTTGCTCATCTTTATCTCCTCTTCCTTCTCGGCTACGGTCCTCTTCTCGCCTCCGCGTTCACCGTCGCTCACGCGCACTCAGGCTACCGATCTGCACGCGGTCTCGATTAATACTTTACTTACGTTTTTTTCGAGACACCGGATTAAGAGCACGCACGCACGCACGACACACGCACGCACGCTTGTACGTACGCACACACTGGAGAGACGACGGATCTCGGTCCTGCACGTGTGTGACGTATATACACCCTAGCGACACATCCGACCGACCGACCGTCGCGTCGCCGTTGCTGGACGACTTGCCTAGCGGACAGCTGCTGGCGCCAGTTCGTTCGCGAAAATCCGGCGGGAAAAACCAGCCACCGACGACTCCGATCGTATATCTTTCCGTGACTGGCGAGTGGCGACGTTGGACGGCGTTGGACTCTTGTTCGCGTCCCGTTCTGCGTCCCCGCCTCGCTCCCTCACCCCCTCTCTCTCTCTCTCTCTCTCTCTATTCTCTCCCGACTCGTGTGAGACTCACGGAAACGGCAGCGAGTAAATCCTCGAACTCGCCGCAGTCGCACCGAACCGCACTGCCCTCTCGTCCTCGTCTAATCACAAAAAAGAGCCGTCAAACAACACCGATGGTAGAACGAACACTACTGCGCTAGTCAACGCGACGACTCGCCGCGCACTGCGATTACTGCGAACGCGTGCGTCACGTGGTACGATCCTGTCACGTGCGATTGGCGAATCGCGAGCGCGACTCAGGATCGGCTACATAATTGAGAAAATTTTGTAATCGAGAAAACTTCCTTCTATTTTTGTATATAATACTGATTCCATTCAAAGCGCGGGAAGAAGCAAAAATGATGTTAATTTTGGCAATATTTACACCGAAAATGTAATCCTGAAAAGCACCAAAGACACTCTCAAAAGTATAGAATATTCTTTTCTCCATTCCTAGATTGCATGGTTAAATAAAACGTTCGTTTATACAACTTATTGAAAAAAACTAACGTTTCAGAAAGATCGTTACTGCAGATAATTAATATTAAATATGATAAAGTAACAATTAATACGTGTGTTAATAATATTAGATATCTGATAATTATATTATTATATAAATGTAATTTTTGACCTTATATTTTAATTAACGCTATTAATCTTAGAAACATTTTGCCGTATAAAAGAAATAAGCTGTAATAAATGTAATATAAAGTTAAATAGATTCGCGTACTACGCTAGTCAACATTAGTGACGTTAATAATTAAATCTCTTCATTTTATGAATTTATTTACTTTTGTTATTCTCATTAACGGACGCAATGTGATGAGATTGCATATATGATACAATTGTTGAATAAACAAAATAAAAAATAAATTGTATAATAAATAAGGTTATCATTGCTGCTCACGACGTACGTTATAAAACTGCAGCGTAATGAACTGTTAGATCTACGAGGACGTTGATAATATAGCGTTCTAACATATCGATTTATAACTATACCTATAAATTAATAACAATAATAAAAGGAAATATACAGAAATAATATATAAAAATTTATTTCGGAGATTTCATTCTATTTATTTCACAAAAAAATAATTTTAAAATACTTTTAAAGTACAATAAATTTTAATAATTTATACTTAACTTTCGCGTTGAAGAGCTAGAACTTGAATCAAAAGTTGCAGTTTACTGTCGGTAAGTATGCATTTTAATTGTTTGCAAATTATATCTTATCGCTTTATAAATATATTATTTATATACTAACAACTACAGAGGTTTATACAGATAATTTACTTATATTTGATTTATTCTTGGAATCACAAAACTAATTTTATTTTAGTAATCTAACTAATTTTATTTTAATTTTTACACAGATTTTTATTTTTATTTTTAAATATATTTTATCAAAGCTCATTAAAAAAGTTACAGTTTACAGAAGTTATTTATTATTATCTCTGTAAGAAACATAAATAAAAAATAATTTTAAATTTAAATATCTACTATATTAAACATACGTAATATTATCTTTCTAAATTGTACTTTAATTCTATATTTTCTGACATATTTAAAAAATTACATATAAAACAGTTTTTTGCAGTGTAATTTAATTTTAATCTCAGTTCAATTAACTTTTCATCTTTTTCTAGTTCTAGAATCAAAAAATGAAGAGAAAGTTGAACTAAGATTAAAGTTAATAATTGATAAACAATGGTAAAAACGGGCGAGTATCAGTTAATTCTACAGAACAGACCACATAATCATTGTCTATCTACTAGTGCCCTCTACAGATTACATAACGCGGATGAATAATGCAGTATATTTGAATATATTTGTAATCGCACAATATGAAAGTGTGTTGGATAAAGAATAAAAAAACGTTAACTTTTGTAAATAATATACCCAAATAAAAATCGTTTACTTCACTCGATACATTAAAAATAATTAATAAGGCTTATACTATATATTTTCAAGTCTTTTCAATTTTTACCTTTAAGGAATTGATAGATTACGCTGAAATCTTTATTTGAGAATCCCTGAGTGATGACCGTTGTATAAATCTGATGCGCCAGGGAACCGAGAGGAATCGGAGTTTGCGTTCTAGTCGCGATGGATTGTACCAATCCCAGATCTTTGGCCATCAATGTTGTGCCGAAACCGCCCTACATGAGTATATTTGTTATTTGCTTTGAAAACTAGTATTTATGACTGTTTGTTATATTTAAGACTATCTTTAATACAATCTTGAGATATCAATTAGACAGCCACACACAGATTTACGTCTTAAAATACTATACTTAAGACGTCTTGTAATAAGAGCCCCGGTAAAAAGTTTTTCATGCATGAATATGTATAAACAATAAACATACATAATTTTATATGAAATATGTCCATACATGTTCATACATCCTTTTTTCTTCTATTACTAAAAATACTTTTTAGTAATAGAAATAACAATAATAATGTGAAAACATTAAAAATAATTAAAGAGTAATTTTCATACTATTTATTTTAGAAAAAATTAAGTTTGAAGAAATGTAAAAAAAATTACTTATGTATAATTATATATAAAATTATGCATAATTGTGTAGGAGCAATTTTTTTAACATTTTCCCAAATTTGTTTTTCTCTAAAACGAAAATTATCCCTTTAATTATTTTTTATATTTTTACATTGCTATTGTTATTTCTAATGTTACATTCTTATTTCAAGGCTGTTCTGAAAACGTATGTGAAGATGTTAATATGGCTATCTAATTTTGGTTCATGACACATAAGACAAAAGACATAATCTTAAATATAATAGGTCTTCTACAATAAGCCATTAGTCATAAATCAGAAGTCAAAAGCTAATAACTGACGATTGTGATTGGTCAATTTTTAGCTTCTGATTTTTGATTTATGACTAATTGCTTATTGTAGAAGGCCCATAAGAACTGACTACGAACACCGGCCAGTACTTTTTGATGGAGCTTCTCTTTGACCTGACTCTCGAACGGAAGTAATTACTTTCGACAATGTCCACGAAACATCTTTAACTTTACGATAACGCTGTTTTGAAATAGTGATAATTTCTAATTCTGAATTATATATTCGTTTCAATCGATTATATTCTAAAATAGCTTTTTCACTAGCAAACACGGATGAAGGATCAAAATTAATTAAATGCAATCCATTAAGAGATGTTACTCGAGATAGTGCAACATACGTCTGGCCGCAACTAAATACGTTGTTAGACGTAGATCCATAATAGCATTTTGCAAGCTCAGTCCTTGATTTTTATGAATGCATGGTAATATCATAACTCAAAGATAATGGAAATTGTTTTCTAATGACATATACTCTGTCCATCACTTGAAACTTAACACTTACTCTTTCAATGAAATATTCTAAACCAGACAGTAAAAGAACTTTTATTTTTACGGTTACGGAAAATGTATGGGATGGTCCTAATGCAACTTATTATAAAAAGCCCGTTAGAGCTCTCTGAATAAATTATATAAACTATTAATTTTATAACCGAAAATTTTGCAATGTTATAATGTTTATTTATCTTCTCCAATTGTGTTAATTCCTTCGGTTCTCGAGTTCTGCTTCAGTGAATTTGCAATGTAAGAAAAAAACCGGGTCACGCAAAAACATTCTGTGCACTCAATTACCTCATAATTCTTCGAACTAGGAACATTAGGCAGAATTCCCGGAACTGGATTATACAGATCGGAAGACCAGCATCTGCCTGTGCTAGAATTTACAACGTTCGCCAATATCTTAGCATCTAAGCCTAGCCTAAAATAAATCACGTATTAACTACTAACTACTAACGTATAAACTATTGACACGTAAAAAATAGTAATATATATGCATCACGTGTATCCTATTTGTTTCTCACTTCTGCCCAAGGTTAAATGCCTCAGCGGTGCCAATCATACTGATAGCTAATAACATGTTGTTACACAGTTTAGCCGCCTGTCCCATGCCTACGTCACCGCAATGTACTATTCTAGATCCTAGAGCTCCAAGAATGGGTTTCGCATCATTAAAATCCATTTCCTTACCGCCTACCATAAATGTCAAAGTGCCATCCTTCGCTGCATTTACGCCTATTAACACAAATTGATAAATAGTTAATTCTTACTTTAGTTGATAACACAGGCCTGCATGGTTTTGTTGATTGGGATTTAACTATGTTTTCTTACGTAGTTTTTCGACGTGATAGAGCAATTCTGCAGCCGGATTCGGATTCAGCGCGAAAAATTACGTAAGAAAACATAGTTAAATTCCAATCAACTTTCAACATCTCCAATTTTGCAGGCCTGTGTAATTTATTCGAGCATAATTTATATCTACATTTAATAGGTCAACTGTAATTCTAAATTTACATTTTAGATTTTTTATGAATGTTAAAACTAACCTCCCGAAACAGGACTATCGATAAATCTCAAATTACGTTCCCGAGCCTGCAAGGCAATAAATTGAGACACTGATGGATCCACGGTACTGCTATCGATCAGTAGAACATCCTTTTGTGCTGCACTAAAAAAAAAAAAAACAAATCAGCCAAACGTAAATTGCAATTTATTTATTCGACAAATCAATTTTAGACGTCACCATTTGAAAAAAGACTTCTAAAATTCATTTTATTACCTAAGCACGCCATTCTTGCCAGTGTAGACATCAAGGACATGTTGATTTGAAGGTAACATCGAGATGATGACATCAGCTTCTCTCGATATTCCAGCCACATTTAACGCACAACTCGCTCCTGTTTCCACTAAATTCATCATCACCGAATTATTTATATCATATACAGTGAGTTTGTAACCCTAAGAGAAAAAATCCTTATTGATGAGGATTGTTTAGTTGAAAGAGTGACTCACTAAATTTAAATCAAAATTATTAACC